AAAAAAAAAAAAAAAAAAAAAAAAAAAAGACAGATGCTTCTTCAGCAAGTGGCCAGGGAGTCCCAGGCCAAGGCCTACTGCAAAGAGTGTTCAAGTCTCCTGGTCTACTTGCCTACCACTTAGGACCCTGAACCCACATCAATTCAGTTAGCAACCAGGAACTCCAGGGCCAGCAGGTGGCTTGGTGGTTAAGACACTGGACTCCCAATGGCCAACCACAGTTGGAGGCCCAGACTCAGTGGCTTGAAAAATCACACCAAGTGTATGTGTGTATGTGCCCCAAATCCCGAGAAAATGGAGGAGAAGGGATGGGTGGGTGACCATCTCTTCTAGGAGGCCATTTCTCACTTTCCCTCTGTCTCTCTCTGGTGAATACACATGCCTTACGGTAAAAACCTAAAAACTTAAAAAATAACCAGGAGCTCCGAGATACTGCGCATGGATAGAGACACTGACATCTACCACAGCCTGCATGAAGACTCTATTTTTTTTTAAATAAAAAGAGGAGGGGCCAGCAGGTGGCATAGCAGTTACATTGCTGGACTCACACATGGCCGATCGCAGTTCAAGTCCCAGACCCAGCGGCTTGTAAATTATGCCCGGCACGGGTGCGTGCCTGCTCCTGAGAGGAGAATGGAAGAGAAGGGATTGTGGTGCAGCCATCCCCGGAGGGGAGTAATTTCTCTCTGTGTGTCTCTCTCCAAAGAGGACATATGCTCTAAGGCAAAAACCGCAAAAAAAAAAAAAAAAAAAAAAAAAGAGGAAAAAGAAGAGCATGCACATGGCCAGTATTACATAGGAAACAACATTCAGCTAACCAGAAGTCCGGACACTCGCGTGCCTGGCCGAAGCTTTAAGCCCCTGCTATTACCTCAGTCACAGCAGACAAAGATCGAGCCACGGGCACGAAGGAATGAGAAAGGGTTCCCAGTGGCACACAGTGGGAATACTCCCTGTCTCAACTCAGTGGAAAAGTAATTTGTTAAAATGACATCCCACATTGGGGCCAGCAGGTGGCATGATGGTTAAAGCGCTGGATACTCCCATGTGACCAACCACAGTTCAAGTCCCAGACCTGGTGGCTTGCTTTCTCACTTTACCTCTCTCTCTCTCTCTCTCTGGTCAAATTAAAATAAATGAATGAATCAATGAAATTAAATAAATAATTCTTAAAAACAAATAACATCCAACAGCTCTTAGAATAACTACTAAGTCACAAAAATCAGACTTAAAAATCACTATAAATCAAGAATTACTTAGACATGAGAAACCCCACCAATGATAAATCCCAAAAAGAGCCTGGAGTAGCCCCTGTTTCCCCCTGAATATTGGCTTGCCGGCATTCCAGGCCTCAGGCTTGACTGTGGCTATCTCCCATATCAGTTTTCTATCCCTGTTTCTTGGCCTCCAAGGAATCCCCCGCCTGGCCAAGTACCCACGCTCCGACTGCCAGCACTCAGAGAGGAAGCACGGGCTGCCTTGCAGCTCCTGCATCTGCGAGTAACTCCAACTCCTCAACAATATGCAATGTGCAAACTTAAAAGGGGTTTCAGATGCCGGGCAGTCAAAATCAAAGTAGTGCAAAAATCCACTTGTGTCTGCAACAACAATAAGTCTTAGATATTTCAAGACAGATTACTCTGACAACGTGCGTTTAAGAGAATGGCGCGGAGCCGGGCTGGAGGGCTGCCTGCCAACGTGGAGCGACACAGCTCCCCATCAACAGCTGCGAACCTGCAGAGAACACGTGCTCTGGGCTTGATGTGCGGGTAGACCACACTGGAGTCCTCGGCGCGAGCTCAAACAGCTACTTAACTGTTTGTCAGACTATTAGTAGGGTGTCAGCACTGCTCCTCCAGAGACGGCAACATGACATGCCATCAGCACTCGCTCCAGGGACACCGTCTGACACTTTTAATGAAAGCCCTGGGGTTGCTCCGCAGCAGGGCCGAGACGCGGCCTGGTTCTGTGGAGGCACAGGTGGGCTCGGGCTGTGGCTCTGTCTCTCCGTCCCAGCTAATTAGGACCAGACTTCCCTCCTGAAACTGGGAGCTGCAGTGACGCGTCTCCAAGGGACACACTGCACTCTCCGAAGATAACTCAGTCAAAGCTCATTAAAATGCTGCATTTATTAATATTACAGTATAAACAGGCAGAGAGGAGAAACAAAGACGTAAAATCCTTTGTA